CTCTTGGGGGCTCGCCGTGCCCACCTTGGGCTCCCCGATAGAATCGCCCCACTCTAGCTAAGAAAGTCCGGGCTGGATGAATGGACTGTAAGGTGGATAGAAAACTGGCAGAGCATCGGGCTTGATGTCTAGTGGCGTGGATTGTGGGGCTGTGATGGCATGGAGCAAAGCTGTGATCTGATCCCCACATGCCCCTGCCTGCAGAATTGGTGTCCAATGCAGCGACATAAGGGGAACGGATCACAGCTCTGCCCTGGGCTCCAGCCCTGTACTGTCAATGCCCCATGATCCTGGCTCCCATCTGCACATCCTGCACCCACATGCCACTTCCCACCCAGCTGCCGCCTCATCCTAGCCACCTAGCTGAGTGCGGAGGCCACTCGGTGAGTTTTGGTGAGCATTTTGGGGAGACCAGAAGTGCTGACCTAGCCTGTGAAAGCTCATGAAAGCTTCCTAAGTAGCCCTTAGGCCAAAATAATTGCCCACCCCTTTCTTAAACCATTCTTTTACTCCAGGCTAGTTGTTTCCTTTCCTATTTTTGCTGCTAATTGCATTCATCCTGTGGTAGCTGACCTAATTGATGAAGATTGAAATAAAAAAGGCATTAAATGCTGTGTTTACTTGAATCCAAGGCAAGGGTTTTTTTCCCCCCATACAACACATGGAAAAAAAACCCCTTGGATTCAAGTAAGGTCTCGGGCAGGAGGCTCTGGTTACAACTGCAGCAAGTTACTCGTGGAAGACCATACAGCGCACGCAGCAGGGAGTGCCAGGGAGATCATGCATGTCAAGCATGGGGTAGACTGCAAAGCGTGCATCCTGGGGGAGAGTAGGGAAGATCATGGAGTGTGAGGGGGGAGACCACGTGGTGGTGGGTAGGGAGAGCATGGGGGAGATTGTGCAGTGCAGAAGGGAATGCAGGGGAGATTGTGGGGTTTCAGGCAGGGGGAGTGCAAGGAAGATTGCATGATGCATGGGGAGGTCAAGAGTGGAGGAGATCATGCAGTGTGTGAGCAGGGGGAACTCAGGGGAGACTGTGCTTTATGGGGTGAGGAGCTTGGGTGGCATGGGGGTAGGTGTGTGGGGGGAATAGCACAGTGCGGGGAGGTGAGCGCAGGGGATTTTGTGGGGTATGCAGCTCAAGGGGAGTGCGGGTGGTGTGGGAGGGGTGCAATCATGGGAGAGATTGGGCAGTGTATGGACCAGGGGGGAGCATGGATAGGATCACATGGAGCAGGTGGGATGCGGGGGAGACTGTGTGATGGAGGCTGGGAGGAATAAGGGGGAGATTGTGCAGTGTGGAGGGGACGGTGGAGGGATTGCACGGGGTGTGTGTGTGTGTGTGTGTGTGTGTGTGGGTGTAAGTTGGGGGGCGGGGGTGGTTCAAGCAAGAAAGATCATGTGAGAGACCATGTGGTGCACGGCCCATGGGAGTACTAGGGAGATTGTTGAGCAGTAAGGGAGCAGCTCCGGCTCCGGCTCCGGCTCCGGCTCCGGCTCCAACTCAGGGTCAAGGCTACTGCTGCTTGGCTGGAACTGGAGCTGCAGCCAGATCCACAATATTGGATAAGCAATGGTGCGCGGCAGGTGGCCGTGAGGAAATCAGTCAGGGGCAATGCACTGCAGGGGGCAAGTGCCCAAAGGGTCAGGCAATATAGGAGCAGGTTGGAGGGGAGGCAAGTGGCAGGGAGGACAGCAGTCAGGGCAAGTTTCAGTCTAGTTACATTCCAGCTCCACCTTTAAAAGCAATGTCTCATGTTTGGGAGCCCAAACAGAGAGGAAGTGAAGTAAGTTTGGGAGGATCCCAGGGAGTTAGATCTAGTGTTATTGCCACAGACAAAAATACATTTGATCCTGTTTCCCATGTGCCATAATCCCATTTAGGTGCACAAGTCCTGTGTTGCAACAGGGTGTGGATGTCTATCAGTCAAAGGGTTTTCCACCTGAAAACTTTCTCCTCTCAGATGTGAAACTCAGAGGAGGCTTCTTTTCCTGCATATTGCTGTTCTGTTAATCAAATGTCTCTCTCAAGTAACAGCTCCAAATTTGTTTCTGACTTCAGATTTTCGCACCCAGTGACACTCACCCACTTGGTATTTCAGCCAACTGACCTCCAAAGACCACAAAACATGTTAGGCACTACTCCTGCTTATCAAAAGGTGACACAGTTTTAAGGTCACCTTTTTGAGGTTACCATGCAGTTACTGGAGGTATTGCATGGGAATGTTCCTCCAATAGAAAATGAATTAAGATTGTTCTTTGTGCACAAAGGGCCAATTATTGCAGAGTATGAGAAAGAAGGGGAAATGCTGGCCCCATAGTAGGCTCTTTCATAATTCATCTCAAAAGGGGGCCAACATTTCACCTTGGAAATTCATCCTTGGAAATTATCATTCAAATTTCCTGAATTACCATGAAACCTACAGGTGTGCGTAGAGACCTGTTCAGGTTTACAAAGGGAAAAGAAAAAAAAGTTGATGGAAATAGCGTTTCCCTGAAGTCACTCATAAAAGGAAACATCCATTAAAACTTCTAGAGGTATTTTGCCAACTTAAAAGATATATTTTTTTTTTCCTCCCAATTTACATGATTCCCACTGGTATTCTCCTTTGGGGCTTTATTTGAGAGTGAAATCTTGGACAAGTTCACAAGGGACTGAAGCACTTTCTGTACAAGGTGATTCTTTAAAATGAAAACGAGCCTCAGAAACGTAGCACATGCTTGGAGTCTGTCCTTCAGTTGTTGCTCCATTCATTGTAAAGAGGTCATCTATGTGGATTCAGGGAGAGGAGAGGATGTTCCTGATTTCATCCTTCCTTTTTTCAAATGTCTTCATTACTCTTTGAAAAGGAAATGCAAAGAGGAAACAATACTCTTTCAAAACTTATCTACCAATATATATGGTATCTTACATTTTAAGCACACTCCAATCATTATTTGTGAAAAGGGAAAGCAAGTGTTATGATGTAAACTTTTAAACTCATAATTTAAAGTTATTTTGGTTGTTAACTACTCACTCCAACTGAACTTCACTGGGATTGGCACGACTGAGACATCACCATTCTTTTGGAGTTCTAGATTACTTTAATTTGTCTTACTTTTTTTTCTTTTTACGTATGAATGCACTGACTTTGTGATTTAGCTCAGTGTGCTTTGATTTCTTCAACTGAGTTTATGAAATTTAACCTCTTAACCGATCTCAGCTAGACATGAAAAAATCTGCTGTGACTCCCCAGCCCTCATCAGAATTGCTCTAATGTCATTGTGATCAGGATCTGAAGTCAGTGGAGGTACAAAGCTGGAGGTACATAGTGGGGCTAACGACAAAAGATTCAGGCAATAGGATCTGTGCTGAAAGAGTTTCCAATAATAAAAAATGATGCAAAGGGGGCCATTAGTTAAATTGGTTTGTTCTAGGAAAATATGAAAATAGAGCAATATTGGCTCAGTGGCTCTTTTACCCTTTTTTACAGCACACTACATCTGTCACTCCTCTGGCCCCAGTGGAGACATGCTTGTCTTACTGAAGGGGGAGGGAGCAGTAGTCAGTAAAAGCAATAAACTGGTTTTAGGAGGTAAAAACTCTGAAGACAACGGAAAGAGATACAGGATCCTACATAGCACAGAAAGGTGTCTTTAGGGAATACTGCAGAAGCTAGATATGAAAATATGGAAGTATTGATGTGCTGTGTAATGGCTTAAAAAAAGATTAAATTCCACGCTTTCCTTTCTCCTGTCAGTTATAAAAGATGCCTAGGAATGCAACTCTAATGAGGGGACATTTCACAGGAATTATTCCTGATTTACCCCAGTGACTTAAAGGAAAGAAAAGTCCTTACTACTTATGTCATGTTCCCATCTTAATGCACACCTTGTTATGGGGTGAAAAGTTACAGCATTGGAACAGTTCAGCTCACTAGAGCTTATGTAGATAGTGGGGAACGCACGTTACTCTTGAGGTGTTGGTGTATGAGCAACTTTCCAGGCCATATTGTATATGCATACCTCCTAATGAGGGACATATATTCCAGAATACGGAAAGGTTTGATCCTGCTCCAGTGGAGCCTATTTCATATTGTTATTTTCTTCCCGCTCCCCTCAACAGTTGGAGGACTCTAGATTCAACATATATTCCAGAATATGGTATGATCTGATGCTGCTCCAGTGGAGCCTATTTCATATTGTTATTTTCTTATAGATTCAAGAACTTACAATGTCTAACATTTACATGTGTTGATATTGCTTAGCTTTGTCATAAGCTGTGTGATTTGTCTAGAAAGTCCTAAAGGTTTGAGCTGAACAGCTGTTTGTAAATCTATGCATCCTGTATTATTTATTATTATCATCATCGTCATTATTGTTATTATTATTATTATTATAATAATCCATCCACCTGTGGCCTGGCTGTCAGTTTGATAGACTGCTTATTATTATGCTTATTAGTAGTAGTAGTAGTAGTAATAGTAATCCATCCACCCATGGCTTGGCTGTCAGTTTGATAGACTGCTTAGTAGCTCTACTTGTCAGATGTTTGCAATTGTTTAGATGTCCATTTTCATTCCTACAGAAGAGCTGCCTTATTAAATGGAAGCCAGTAACCATTCTAGACTATCTGAGTTCAACATGCAGGGACTCTTTGACCATCCCCATTTATAGGGGCTCTTCTTTGGAACTGTGCTCTGCCTTTTTGTTGTTGCCATCAAAGGCAATTCCCTGATCATCCTGGCCATTGTCTTCCACCTGCCTCTGCACACCCCCATGTACTTCTTCATTGCTAACTTGGCTCTAATTGATATTTTTTGCACGTCTGCCATCCTACCCAAAATGATGCATAACCTGATGCTTGGGAAGAAAACCATCACCTTCGATGTCCATGGCCCAGCTCTTTACTTTCACTTTGTCACCTGGAACAGAGCTAGTGCTCCTTACAGCCATGGCTTTTGACCGGTACATGGCCATCTGTCATCCCTTGCGCTATGTAACTGTCATGACCAAGAGTGTCTGTTTTACATTAGCAGACATTGTCTGGGCAGTTGGAGCAATCAGTTCCTTGGTGCACACCTTGCTCATGCTTTGACTAAATTTTTGTGGGCCTAACTTCATCCAGCACTTCTTCTGTGAAATCCCACCTCTGTTGGCATTGTCCTGCAACTCAACCTACCTCAATGAAGTCATGGTCTTCATTGCTGATGTCTTCCTAGCCATGGGGAACTTCCTACTGACCAGTATGTCCTATGCCTTCATCAGCAGCAGCATTCTGGAAATTCAGAGCTCTGAAGGGAAGCAAAGGGCCTTCTCTACATGTTACTCACACCTTGTTGTGGTTGCCCTATACTACTCTGCCATTATCTATACTTACATTCGGCCGACCTCCAGCTACTTGCTGAATAAGGACAAGCTGGTGGCCGTTCTGTACACACTTGTGACTCCTGCACTGAATCCTCTGATCTACAGTCTGAACAACAAAGAAGTCAAAGTGGCCTTTAGGAAAATTCTTCCACTTAAGAGAGAGTCAGCTTGAAAATAACAGGCTTGACTGTGTGATTCAAACCCAAAGTAGCTGAGCCTGCAGGGAGAGGTGAAGTCTGGGTTCAAATCCCAGTGTTCCTAATGGACTTCTTTGAACCTAATTGGGCACATCCCTGTGTGTAGAGGTGCACACTTCAAGGGACACAAGAATTTACAGCGCCCATTTGTGCCACTGCTATGTGCCCCAGGGCACACCCATGCATGTGCGCTCTGGTGTGCCTCAAATTGTCCTGGGTGGGGTAAGAGAGCTGTGCTGGCCCCAGCAGCCTTACCTGGGCTCCTGGGGGCCTCTGAGTGCAGTAGCAGCATCAATCTGTTTGCACGGAGTCTGGCTGGCAGCCAGAGCATGCCAGAGCAAACTGCAAGCATGCACTCTTCTGAATGCACCCATTGTCTCTATCTGAAGTCCACGCTTGATGTAAACTGTTGCAACATCCTGGATTATTGTTCTCACACTGCAGTGGAAATAGGAGAACTTCCATGCCCTAGACTGCTAGCAAAATGGTGGAAATGTACTTGTATTCATTTACATTATTAGTGAACTGCACTCATATTATCAGTCTAGGGTGATACTCTAGACAGCATTAGGAATATTGGCTGCATCTACACGTGCAATTAATTTGAAGCAATAAACTCTGCATCAGTTTGAGCTGGAGTAAACTAACATGCCATTTAAACATGCACTCAGGATAGCAGCAATTTGAGCCAAGGCAGAGTAGTTTACACCAGGGCTGCTCAGCCTTGGGCTTTAGGTGGCAGCATCATGCAGTGGAGGGGCAGGTTGGGGCACAAAGGTCCTGAAAGTGCAGAGTGCATTAGTTCATTCCAGGTCATGTGTTCCAAATCCACAACCCCTGTGGTCATTTCTGTCTGGGAATTTAACCCTGCGTAGGTGCTCTGCATTAATTCAGGTCCCTGATAAAGGAGAGTGATAACTTCATTCTCTTCTGTCTGGGGTAATGAATCAGAGAGAGCTGCTAGCATTTTCTTTTGGATGAGGTAAGATTTTGGGGCTTCTCTTGGCTTCTGCTTTTCCATTACATGCAGTCTCTTAAGGGAAGAAGCTGGCAGTAATATTTTAAGAGCACTTATCATCCATTCCCGGGGTCCAGGAGCAGTTTGCTCCCAAAAACTTATGCCCACATCTAGAGCATCTGCATCACCAGGAGAGGCACATAAGTGAGCTAATTGAGTTAAGTCCATGCCATCAGCAGAGGGGTCCATTTGCCAAATGCAAGCCAGCCACGCAATGGCAGTGTCTCGGTTCAGTGGCCCCAGTCTCTCAGCAATAGCCTTGGCTTGACTGGGAGACCATCTCACCATGGCAGTGACTATCTCCATTGTGGGAAGATCATCTCCTGCAACTAGGCATTTAACCTCATTTGTGGTAACAGGGGCAACATTATGCATTTGGGGCCAATAGGGGTTGAATGGGCTTTTGGGGACTGCATCAGGGAGTATCTCTATTTTCCCAGGGGACTCAAAGTCACAATCCTCACTCAAACCTTACAGCTGCTACCACCCCCTCATGGGCACTAAGCTGAGCATGCAATTTCCTGATCTCCGCCTCACACTTCTGATGGCTTGAGGCTGCCTTTGCAGCCTTGTTTTCCTCTGCCAGGAAACGAGTTGCTGCTCTCGCTTCTTGTAACAACACTTTTGTGTGTGTTAATTCTTTCTTATACAGCTCTAAAGTCTTGCTTGCCTTATTCCTGTCTCTCTCTAAGTAAAGTTACCAGTTTAAGCTTTTCTGCTATAAAATCACACCTGTCTATCTCACAGTCTTTAAAATGCTGTTGTAAATGTTCTTTTTCAAGCTCCAGTTCCTGCTTCCCCTTTAACAGTTCAATCATTTCCAAACATGCATAAAGCATAATGCAGCCCAGGCAGCAGCTGCATCTTTTGCACTACTATGTGGCTTAAGAGTGGTGAAATACTGTTCAAAACTCAAACCTGCCTCAGTCAGGGGATTCTCACCCTTGAAGCATCCTTTTTCCCAGGGGCATTTTCCCTTCTTCATTACCCATCTCTCTAACCTGCAGGGTTTCTCCTCCCTCAAATGAGCAGCTAAAGGGGTTTTTCGAGACATTTCCATTTCCCTTGTCACACTAATGATCACTATCAAAAAGCCTCTTTGACACAGTCACTTAGATTGCACACACACAGTATTACTCCACAATCTTAGTTCTAAAGTACAACTCTCATCTCTATAGCATGGTCTTAAAGTTATTCCAGCACAGGTCTTAACTTAACCCTCAAATGAGCAGCTAAAGGGGTTTTTCGAGACATTTCCATTTCCCTTGTCACACTAATGATCACTATCAAAAAGCCTCTTTGACACAGTCACTTAGATTGCACACACACAGTATTACTCCACAATCTTAGTTCTAAAGTACAACTCTCATCTCTATAGCATGGTCTTAAAGTTATTCCAGCACAGGTCTTAACTTAAAAATTACAGGAGGCTCTATGAGAGAGGGACCTAGCTGAAGGAGCTTGGTCTGATAAGAAAGAAAAGAGAAAAAAGAAGCCAAAAAAAAGGAAGATAAAGCTTTCAGGTCATTGCCTCAGTTTACCACTCTGCAGCAGCTATTCAACAATTACCACGAGATTAGGGTCATGTGCTGCGAGCCTTCTCCACCAATTTTGTTAACAGATTGGCCCATCACTTTGGGGTGTGCTCATTTATTAGGGATACGCTTCTAGGGTCTTTGTAATTCTATTAATGTGCTGCTTGTGTTACTTGTGTTTCTATACAGAGCTGTATTTCTCCCTTCTGCCAGTCCTCACCCCCAATGGAGCTATCTTGCAGGACTCGGTTTCATTGGGGTTGGGTTCCTCCAGTCACCAAATCAGTCATACACACAAACACACACAAATTAACGTGACACGCCTGACATGGACAGCCTGATACCCTCACATGCCAAGAATCAGTTCATCAGAGCAACAATAAACTGCCGTCAGACACAAGCACACAGGTGAACAGACTACCTCTTCATTCAGCTGGGTATCCAGCTGACACCCTCATGGGCCAGCATTCAGT